TTCAAATATTAAAATGAAGAGTTATCTAGAAGTATGAGTTCGCGGACTGTACAATTCTTGGTGATTTTGCGTACATAAGCTATCTATGTTTATTAATTTATCTATGGATTTATCATGTTATTTTTGTCTGAGTTTTTTGGCTGTTCTGAAAATTCAATTGTTAAAATCAATGAACGATAACTTAAGATTTTTAATTTGTCTATTTCGTTACTGCAATTTCTCCTATACCAATGTTTTAATCATTTTAAGTACCCAAGTCCTTTTACAAGAGATTAAATATGATTTTTTTCTTCAAACAACTCTTCATGTCACCCTTGATCCTTTTTTCTGAACTTTGAAAGTTACAATGATTTTGTTAAAATTTAATTAATTCCTATGAATTCAAGATTAAAGTTTCTAGAACTGAGCTGAAATATCATGCCTTGCTTTAACAATGAATGCAAATGTTTAATTTCTATTTATACTTTTTATAGAAAAAATTCGATTTTTTTTTTCTATTTAATGATACAACAAATTTCTGGATCTTATCTCATATGTTACTTATACCGATAAACAATAAATTTTGGACTGTGAATGTTAACCTTTAGATATAAGTATGTAAGCGTAAGCGTTTCAAAATTGAGTCTGTAGTATAAACATACGCAAACATTTGAGGATTCAGCGCAGTGCGTACTTTGTACTCTAGGCTATATAATGAATGAAGGGAGAGGGGGGGGGGTAACACACCTCCCTTTATCTCATCTATTATAACAGGGTGGACAGTGGACACTGGCCCAACCCCCATTTCCAGTTGTCCCTCCCCCATTTCCAGCTTCCCCTCCCCCTAGTACCAAATCGAGCACTATTGTATCCAAGCAGAATTTTATGTTGTTGTGTAGAACAGATTGAAACTGGTATTTCGAGCGCCAAGGCTTAATACTCTTTACACTATTCAGAGATTAAATAGTTACATTATCTTAATACAGTTTTCAAAATAAATTATTAACTGAGTAAATGTTAGAAAATGAACCCTGGTTTAGGTGCAGATATATCTGGTAAGGTAAGGAAGGAATACTGCAGATATATCTGGTAAGGAAGGAGAATACGCTAGTTTTCTCTACTCCACCTCATGTCAGTTTGGCATTGACGCCTGGACCATGCAACAAGTCCTTGGATATATATTCTCTAGTTCGGAGTTTATCCGTATTTAATCCTGTATCTCTAGTTTATAGTTCATGTAGGAGTAAATACATTGTTTTCAATCTAAAATAATAATGTAAGTGCAGTACGTTATTCTATATTTTGTGAAACATAGAAATAATTTACTCAAATTTTGTGTACAACAACAAGAAATATTTGCTAATACAAGTCCAAGTTTACATTGAAGTCTAAGAATCTTCGTTAATAAGTCCAAATTATATTTTTTTGTAATTTTTACTCAGAAAAACTCAAGAAATAGCTTATATAAAGATTAATTTCAAAGGCTCGGAGTGTGTCGACTAGGGTTTGCAGCGAACGAAACGTTTCGCGAAAAAATGCAAAAAAAGGCGAAAATTTTCGTTCGTAATTCCCTAATTTTTTCGCGAAAAATATTTTTGCAAATTTTCGACTTTTTTTGGCTAAACGATTTTTCCTTTTCGTTGCAAACCCTAGCGTCCAAACCTATTTCGTTGAAAGTTATTCGTAAAATAAAAAAATAATACTTTGCTGCATTCATCTAGATGAACTCTAAATAAAACCAAACCCACTCAATCTGTTTAGTATTTTCATTCTGCCAGTTGACCCATCTCCTCCCCTTTTTCCTGCTTGCGTTAATCCCCAGAGGGGGGAGTTCTTGGGACAAATCTCGTGTTTAGGAAAGGCGGGAAAGCTGGAAATCAGGGTTAAATATATTTTACGCAACCTTTTCTACACTTTCATTGTTACTTGTTAGATTTTGTTAAAATTAGATGGTAGGAATTAACAGTTTATTTTTCATAAATATTAGATATCATTTTTCATCCCTGAATACGGTGAAGTGCAGGGCCTCATTCTGATTCAACATTTAGTTTTCTTCTCGCTGGCCGCTGCTCTTGAGAGAAAACCTTCTATAGTTATGTTAGTTTAGCTCCAGTATTTAGGACGATAAATAGTTTTTTTTCTCCAATTTTCATTATTGTAAGTTTAAGATTTTTATTTTATTAAAAATATTGTATTATTTTAAAACATGCAAGTTCATGCGCTTCGACGTGTCAGCTTCGTAGCTTTTATTGTAGTGAAGGTTAAACGTAAGAAATCAAATGTATGTAATTGCCCTGAGATCTGTTTTGATAATCCTAGTGCACACGTTCACTAGGACAGACCCCTTCGACATAAAAAAATCCTATAATGTTGAATTTGTATTGCATGGAAAAGAAATATTAACCTCCAAATTAATCAATTTTGATTTTTTCAATATAAAAAAATTTTTGAGTTCAGAAACCCCGATTTACGTCATTTTTTTGTAACTTTTTATACTTTGAAACAAGGATTTTTCTTTCCTGAAGAATAATTTTACCAATCAATACTTAATTCCATTTCTTTTTTATTTTCGGTTGAACATCGAACATTTTTTTAATACAAATAAACCCCTATTCAGGCTCTTAAATAAAGCATAATCCTGATACTCATGATTCCTTTTAAGTAAACCCTGTTAAGTCATCTTTTTCATTTTATTAATATAGGAAGATTTTCAGGATGAATTGCGGTGATATTGTTTTCAATAAGAATCAACTAACAACGTTGAACGTCAAATACCTTTTTTTAATTTCACGGGAAATTTGACTAAAAATTATTACATATAGTTATTTAAAGATTTATATATTTTTCATGTATTTATTATCTTGACCAAAATATTGATCATCTTGTTCTTCCAGGAGATGTAGAAGATGCAGGCAATAGCTGGGCTCAGCCGGTCAATCTCCAGGGCTCTAGTCCAGGGGGTTGTCCAGAGGTCACAGAGTACAGAGGCTACTCAAAAGTTGGCTGATCAAGATACTAAACTAGGTAAATTTGAAATTATTTTGATTTATAAATTATAATTTTTAAAGAAAACCGGAATATTTGTCGAGTTAGGAACTCTTTTCTACTCATCGTTACAGTCATTCATATCATTGTATAAACATTTTATCTCGTTATGTGGTTAGAACTTTTTTACTATACAGTACACTAGTGATCAAAGTTCAATATAAAACTAGAATAAAGTTTTTGATAAAAAGCTTATTTTTTATAAAATTTCATAAAATTCATGATTTGTTCCGACTTTTATCATAGAAAAAGGTTGTAAATCAGGTTTATTGAGTCCTATCATCTTTTTTTATATTCAAAATATCTGGATCTTCTCGATTATAACCGGTTTCGTTTTACTTCAAATTGGTTGCAGGGGGAGAAAATTTCTAGAAGAATTTATGTAAAATAATATTTATTATAATGCATTTAAATAAATGACAGTGCGTTTATTATCTTTATTTATTTCTGTGGCAATTATCTGATCTAAGTGATAATGACAGTACACATATTTTAAGTTGTTAATGCGTTTTGATGCCATTTTTCTAATCCGATTAAGAAATGATAACTGAGGTATCAAAGCAAGGAATAGTATGAAAGGGAGTGACCGGCTATGTAAGGTAGTTTAACTGAGTATGCAGTGTTGTGGAAAACTTCTTTTGGATTCATTTGAGACATATTAAACTTTAAAGATCTGTAAATCCTGAGTTTGAGCGCCAATTCGACGTTCAAAACTCCTATTTTTGGGGTGGCATTTTCTGAAAATTGAGAATATAACTCAGTAGCCTGCATAAGAACATAAGAAAAAAAATAGGTGTTTTGACTTGAAACCTGATGGTCCATTTTCAGCAGTGTGCGCAGATAGAGCAAGTAAAAGTTAAAATCTTAGGTTGGTGCAAGCCTAGTTATTCGTCTTTTAATAAGTTTGTTTGTTTTCAGTTTCAGCTGTTAGTGGATTCCCTAAACCTGGAAGCTCGTACAATATCGACAACATACTCAAAGGCCAAATCGGCGACGATGCGTATTTTGTCGCTCGGCACGTGGACGAATGGTCGACAGACTTCGGGGAGACGAGCTCCGACGATGTGGCCGAGGTTCGAGGGAACGCTGACGTGATCGGAGTGGCAGATGGAGTTGGAGGATGGAGAGCATATGGAGTAGATCCAGGACTCTTCAGTGTAAACCTGATGAAGTGCTGTGAGAGATTAGTTGTGGCTGGATATTTCTCCGGAAACCAACCTTCGAAACTACTAGCTCAGGTATAGTATCGTAACTTTCCTTAGTTGGTTTTTTTTCTGTTTATTTCTATTTCTTCAATTTAGGTTTAATCGTCTTTTATTCTTTTCATGCTCATCCCTTTCTTTTCCACATCTTCAAACTTCCTCTTATTCAATATTAAATGCGCGAATCTTTTCTTATCTTAAAATGGTCTGTAATCGTAATTTCAAGTGAACCTCCATGGAAAGCGTCAATGCCCGATTCACAATGGTACCCTTCCAACCTTCATCTGATCAATAATGTGAAAGCTATTCTCATTTTTTCTAGATTTTAGAGTGTTTAATTCCGAAAGTTTCTTTATGTTTTCCTGCAGTAAAAATGCGCACGTCTCTTTTGAAGAGAAACCCCCAGTATCAACAGTGTTTTCCAAATTATATACATGGATATCTAATTCATACCGAATCAGACAAAACGTTTATGGGTACCTTGTGATTCGTGCCTTTGCCTTTGCATGGAGAATCACTTGATATTACGCTTACAGTCCCTTTAAAGTGTTTAATTCTTCACATATTTTACTGTGCAACTGCTTATCTTTCTATTTACTTGTTTTTGAGCTGAGAAAGCTTAAGGCTAAAGAAAAGATTTCTGGGACAAATAAGATTCTCGTGACTTTTCTATATTCTCTTCTCCCCTCTTAGTAACAAGATAGATAATTAAACACCTAGAAATCTGAAATTGAGGCCTACCCTACATACTTCTGTCTGGGGAGAATTAATTCTTTCATTTGAAAACCTGGTTTGTGTCGGACTTTAAGAAGGGTTCTACAGAATGATTTTGTTTTCTTAAAGTTCTCATATTTATCTAGGTCATATTTGGATTGTGTTTTAATAATAACTTGTGTGAACTTCTTTGTGTAGAGTTGTTATTTAGAGTTTTGTTCATCCCAGGATTTCAAGGTGTTTTAAGCATAGAGAACAGAATATATAGAGAGGAATTTACTAGAAAAAAGTGTAAAACGGCCATTTTGTTGTACTGTTTCCATACTGCAGGTGTACTTCACATATTTGTGCTATATATCCTGTTGGGCCCTGGAATATCATTTTATAGAAAATCTAAGATTATTGTTATAAGAAAACCAAATTATGAAATAGGCTGGTTTCATAATTGACCAATGATCATTTCACATAGACTCTATGCCTTCCACCTCACAAACGATGATTTTCCGTTATAACTATAAATCAAATGATGTTTTTATTCACCTAATTCATTATAAAGTTTATTTAACAGTTTAAAAAATTCGAAATTGAAATGGATAGTCTAGGGAACATACTGTATTAATGTACTTTACTGCATATAATTTGTGAACATTTACATGATTTGTACACTTTGAACTCCCTTTCAGGCTGAAAGGGACTGAAAAAATTCATACCGAGAGATTCTTAATTCCTCTCTATATATTCTATTCTCTATGGTTTTAAGCCTAGTTTTAAACAATTTTTAAGATTCAGGGCTTCCCACGAAACATGACAGTTGGTGTATAGTTTCAAATGTCTTCTTCCCTAATTTGTAAAGTTGATATTTATGGCAGTTATATAATCGCAAAATTGATAATGAATCAAAATATAAATTAAAAAATATTTAAGTAAATGATTTTTGAAAGAAATAAACTGAAAAAAGTCCTTAATATATAATACAGTAAAAGGAAGAATTCGAAGCTATTCACCAACTGTCGTGTTTCGTGGGACAACCTGTTTGTTTAGGTTTATCAGAATTTTGTTCAATGAGGGTTAAAGATTTATTCATTGTGTTAAATTATTTGCATTAGGAGCTAGTTAATTAAAAGCAATACACAAAGAAACAAATGACTTGTATGTATCCCATATATAATACAAGAGTTCATCTAAAACTAGGCTTGGTAAACATTGTATAATGTACATGTACTGTACACCTTTGACACCCAAAATTAAGTTTTACACCTGCAATTACACCATTAAATAACGAGAAGAAAAAGATAATTTCTCAGCTTAATTATCTAGAGTAAAGATTTCTTTTTCTGAAAGTGTTCTTCACTTTTTAAAGTTTGCAGTACTCTGAATTGTTTTTATTATTTTTCATTTTTTTATGCTTTGTCTGGTTAAATTACAATATTAAAAATTTTTCTTAATAATATTTATTTATGATAATATTCCAGGGTTTCCGTGAAATGCAGGAGAATAAGCAGCAGATAATCGGGAGCAGCACCGCCTGCCTCATGATGCTGTCCCATACAGATCTCAAGCTCTACACAGCAAATATCGGGGACTCTGGGTTCCTGGTTCTACGACAGGGGGAGGTGGTTCACAGGAGCCAGGAGCAGCAGCACTACTTCAATACCCCCTTCCAGCTCTCTCTACCCCCTCCTGAACTACAGAGCGAAGTGCTCAGTGATAGACCGGAGTCTGCGGACCAGTATGAGTTTTCTGTAGAGGACGGAGACGTCATTCTAATGGTATGTTTTAATCAAGTTTTCCTTATTTTTATTCTTTACATAAAGATGATGATAGAGACTGGAGTGATGTCAATCTTTCTTAAAAGAATTTTATTTGTAAAGATCGTTTAGGTTTTCACGGCCTGGCAATTCTCGAATAGGGTTTTAGAATTTTTAGAATTAAGAGATTTTCGAAGCTCAAGTGGAAAAAATTAGCTTTTATTGTCGAAGCTTTTTACTTATTGCTTGAAAATCATTTGTTTTGCATCAGTCGCTGGAGAAACTGAGTTTTAAGAGTTGATTTATTTTTTTACCTAATATTTTATATCTCCCTGTTCTGTAAAATGTATTCCCCTCGATTAGATAATATGTTGTCCTACTTCTGTTAAATATTACTCCTTTTTCCAAGTCTTAAAAATATTTGTGAAAAAATTAGAAGTTTGACTGAATCATATTTGAAACAAAGATGACGAGGAGAAGGGGGGGGGGGGTTTGACCGAGTTATTAACATAAAATCGTAATAACCTGAGGCCGAATTTAACGAATTCTAGCTGCTTCTCAAATTTTAGACGCGGTTAAAATAGGTTGGTTCCACTCGAAGTTGTATTCCGTGTTTCAAGATTTGAGCCGTCGCTTAATTGGAACCGGTTTTTGGTGGTTTAGTGACGTGGTTTAAATTCTTTAAATTCGGCCTCAGTATAATTTATCTACTCAAAATTCTTAATCGTGTTTATCATAATATAAAACCTGATAGTTTCAACTTCCTCTCAGTTCCTCCGTCCTCATTATTCCCCACGTCCCTGAGATGTTGACTTTTGTTCAGGCGACGGACGGAATATTCGACAATGTGCCTGACAGCCTGCTTATCGAGGAGATGAACAAGGTGCAGAACTGCAAGGACAGGTTCAGGATACAACAGTGCGCCAACAGTATTGCGCTCATGGCGAGAAAACTGTCTAGAGATCCCAAGGTTTGATATTTTTTTATTTCATTCAAAATAAGTTAAACATTTTAACTTGACTCTAAATTGGTTTTGAAGTTATTCTTATCTTTGAAGGCTTGAAGGAGATTTATTTTAAATCATGCTTAATCTGAATTCTGATACTAACTTTAATAAATCTGGTTGCTGATTGTAATCTATTTAAACCTGTTTCAGTTTTTGTCTCCTTTCTGTGTGAACGCTCTAGCAGCCGGGATAGTTGCTGAGGGAGGGAAACCTGATGATATTACGGTTCTTCTTGCAACTGTCAGCCTATAATACCCACCTTCTTGTCAGCCTGAACTATCCACCACATTGTCAGCCTAAACTATCCGCCACATCTGTCAGCGTGTTAGCTTCACTTTTACACACCGACCTCTACCTTGCCCGACTGTTCTGAACAGCAGAGAATCAATCCTGTTTCTTAAAGAAAGCACCCTACCGTGTTGCTGTTTATTAACATAACTCAACAACTCTCTACGAGGCATAAAGCTAATTTCTATGTTCCCCCTATTCTGTGAACTGATAAACTGTTAAAAAGCAAGGAAACTTGTAAACCTTTTATATGATCCTTATTATTGCTGGAGTTAACTATGATTAGTTGAATATTTCTCAGTTGGAAATTTGTGGAACTATTATTTGATGTCAGCTTCGTAGCTTTTATTGTAGTGAAGGTTAAACCTGAGAAATCAAATGTATGTAATTGCCCTGAGATCTGTTTTGATAATCCTAGTGCACAAACAGTTGAGTAGATTCTTGTAGACTGCTCCTCAATCCTATACTCCTGCTCCTCCATCCTATACTCCTCAACCTTATACTTAATTCTGCTCTTCCATTCTATACTCTTGATCCTCCATTCTTACTCCTGCTTCTTCATCCTTACTTCTGCTCCTCCATCCTGAACTCCTGCTTCTCTATCCTCAACTCCTGATTCTCTACCGTGATCTTCTAATTTTCTATCCTGATCTCCTGTTCCTCATCCTAACTCTTGCTCTTCCATTCTGCTTCTCCGTCCTGAACTCCTGCTCCTCTATCCTTAACTCTTGCTTAGTTTGGACAGATTATTCCTGATCCCACAGCCCCTTGCATTGTGCAATAATTTATTCATTCATCATTCTCATTATTCATCTAAATTTTATCATCATCCTCATCTTTAAATGTTTTTTTTTTAATATATATATATAAATACAGGGGGAACAAGAAATAATGACCCGGATTCCATATTATTTTTTGATATACACGGTATACATTCTGAGTTGTGTTTTGGGCATTATTCCGTGTGTCCCCCTGTGGAGCTGCTAATACACGTTTTCTTGGATCTGTAGTTTTCAGCCGATGCATTTTGATCTCCCATAAATATTTAGTCCTGTGTAGTAGTATCACCAATAAATATGGTTATGTAAACGTGTATTTTAAAGATCGTGAATATTTTTGATTTTCAGAAAAATATTTTCCCCCAAAATTAGCACCACAGAACAGTTAAACATGACTTAAACTTTTAAGGCTCCTTACGTTTATTTTATTCGGAGAACCAGTTTATTTTATGAATTATTTCTGTGGTGTCCAGTATTGCGGCAGGGGCATAAATTAAGTTTAAAGGAAAGTTTCATTGATAAATATGAATTATTCAAATCTAAATTTTTAAAAGTAATAATACTAGAAAAATATGAAAAAAATGTTATCCGAATATTTGATGTTAAAAATGTTATAGACCGAAATACAATAGCCCGGGCGTTATTTAACGTGACCTCGGGTTAATGAGGGACGAGGAATTAGTTTAATAAATAGATAATATTTGGGACTTTTTAGCGTGGTTAAAAATTGAGATTTGATATTTGAACATTTTATTGTTCGTGACTGGGATGTTGCATCACAGTACACACATCAAACGACCAATAAGCTATTAAGCTTTTAATAAATAGTTATAAAATGTTGTCCAATCCATGGCATATTGTATTGTATGCTAAGTTTAACCAACATTGTTTTTTGATAAAATTGAGTTAAATGCAAACGTTCTATTTTGATTAAACTAGATACAATGTCATCTTCAAAGAAATCTGCCGAATCAAATTCTTCGGACTTAAATAAATCCGAACCCAGGAACTTAAACGCCCGACTAAAATCATATTTTGAGTGGGTTCGCCGTCTCGAGGAACGTAACACAAGGCTGCAGGAGGAAATGGCTTCAAGGAAAGAGGTCCGCTCACAGGAGATTGCCAGTATGTGTTCATCATATGACGAGGCTCTCTCCTCGACTCGAAGTTCGTTAGATCATTGCGCTAAAGAGAAAGCGAGCTTAGAAATGGTTGTAGAAAATGCCAGGTTTGAGATTTTGAATATAGAACTGAAGATGAAGGATAAGGATGAGGAGATATCCATTCTAGATTCGTTGAATATTCGTCTTCATTCACAGAATACCAGACTCAGGAAGCAGGCACAGAGTGCAGACGACGAACTGGGACTCTTCAGATATGATTACGATTCCGTCAAGAACAATTTGGAGGATACTCGTGAAAAGCTTGAGGCTGAGACTATAAGACGGATTGATATTCAGAATAAGATTTTAACAGTTCAGGAGGAGAGGAGTTTCAATCAAACCATCCTGGAATCTAAAAGATCTGAAATAGTTCTACAGACTGAGAGGGAGAAGGATGAGATCTTGAAGAAGTATGAGAAGGAGTACGAGGAGAAGATTAAGATCGAGGAGGAGAAATTGAAGGTTGTAAGTCATGACGGGGAAAGTTCTCTGCGTAAGAAGAAGATCTCCGAATTGGAAGAAAAGCTTGCCAAGGCCTGTGATGCAACACAAAGTGCTCTTTTCATTAAGAATGAGATGCAGATTAGGTCAGAGAGTTTGTCAAGAACTGTTATTGAGCTTGAAAAGGAAAACTCCGACATCATCAGAAGGGTTAATATTCTAGATTTTCAAATAGAAGAGTTGAAACGGGAGAACCGGTTGGATTTAGCTCTTAGGAACAGTCGTCTCGACTTCATGAAAGAGAAGAATGATGAGGCAATCAAAGATTTGCAAGATTTGACAGAAATGAAGGAAGCTCTTGACGCTGAGATCTCTTCATATCAGAATCAGTTGGAAGAAGAAGAGTTTAGGTTTGGACAATCTATTGAGAGAAGTGGTAGGAGTAATACAACCAAAAAGCAGAGACTAGACAATGGATATATTAGTGGAGAGGAGACGGATCTTAGTCAGGAGCGTATAATTTAAACATTAAAATCATATATCAGAAGTGAAAACTTTAGAATTGGAATGGATACCCTTAATCCCGAGTGCTAAATCTCTTTATCCACTGTCGACACTTGTGTCCGATTCGTTATTTTTCGATTTTTTAAGGGAAAAGTTGCGTTTAAATAGGGGTGTGTTGAGTGTTGATTATTTTTAAGGAAACATTATGCGTTCTTTCAATGCAGAGTCTGTCTACAGATACCGATTCGAAGAATATATCCTGGGATGATAATGATGATGGAGCCGGACAGAAGGAGAGCACACCCCCTCCTAACGAGGTCAAAGAGGAGATCAACTCCTCTAACAAAGTCAAGGAGGAGAATATTTCTCAACTAAACCTAGAAGATGGAAACCTCTTCTTCAACTAAACATAGAAGATATAAACAACCTAGACGAAGAAAAGAAATCCTTCAATTGAACCTAGGAGATAAAACCTACGTACCCTTCAACTAAACCTTGTTGAAGGAAACCCCTCCTTCAACTAAGAGATGAAAATGTCTCTTGCATCTAACCTTACGAGAAAATGTCTCTTTTCAACCATATAATAAGAATTACATTCTGCAAACCTTTGTATTTTGTATCTCGAAATTTCTACTTTTTATATTGTAAAAAATGTTCACCTTTTTGCCTTCCTTCTTTAGCATTCTTGCTTTGCTGATTTTTATTTGTTTTGCAACTTTAGATATTTTACTTTCACATATCTATAGTTTCATTACAGAATATATTGGAATTTTTTAAGCATTGTGAGATAAACAGTTTTATTTCAGTTATTCTCCGTTTCTGTTTTGTTAACAAACTAATCTAACAAATTCACTGGACACAGTTTAAGCAAAGTTTATTAGTTTTAAATAGCAAAACATTGAAACCTTAAGTTCAAGTTTATTGTAATTTTTTTTTTAATAAAAAAAGGAAAAGTTTACTCCTACATGTCTATTAAAGATGCGTACAACTCTTGTTTAATCATTTATTCAGCATTTTACTATCGTGATGCGTAATATTCATTGAATCGTATAATAACGATCGTTTAAAATGCTAAAATCATAGTGAAAGGAAAATTAAGAGTTTAAGGTTTTAAGCATTATCCCCTCAGAGTACATAATGAACCATACAGAATCCAGAGAATCTAGATATCTTTAGACTTCTACGCATCTTGAAACATCTTTACACTTTAAAACAGCGCAATCGTATTTCTATAGGGCCGGGGGGGGGGGGGAGATTGTAAATTATTAGTATAAATAGTTAGATAGATAAAAACCATGACTGTCCTGCCGCAATATACGTTTAATTGTGTTCTGATATGATGAAGAATTGTACATATTTTAAAAGAAGAAAAGCTTGCTAACTAATAAACTTAAACTTCATATTTGTGACAGAACCTATAATTTTGAAATGGATTAATCTGTATGTCTCAGGGGATTATGAGATTAGCTTTAACTTGTCACTGTATTTTCCAAATTATTAAACACACTCTAAAGAATTATGGAAGTGGCGAAATTAAAAAACTATTAAAATTAAAGATTATCTTTTAAGAGCTTGGGAATACCGTTTAACCTTTTTATACGAAAAAAAATATAAATATTTATTTTAAATTCAAGAATGTCACTTGTCACTCTCCATCAAAATAAATCAGTTTAACTATTAACATGATTTCAAAGAAAAACTCAAGTTTTTACTAAATAGGCCCAAGAAGAAATATTCCTGTATTTTATTTTTCCATTCAGGTTTGATAAGGCTCATTATATTTTATATATATTCAATACAATATACTACAATATTCTTAACAATATTCTTTACATAAAATATACATACAGCTGGATTTATTTATTCTTTCCATTTCCAGTATATTCTTTATATTATAAAGTTGGAATTCTCGGGACCATGGGCATATTTTCTTGGGTTTTACATTTTTTATGTAATACAGGTGAAATTATATATTCTTTACATACATAATTTACAATCGGATTGATTTATTCTTTACTTTTACAACTGGAATTATTTATTCTTTACATATACGGCTGGAATAATTTATTCTTTACATCTACACCTGGAATAATTTATTCTTTACTGATACAGCTGGAATAATTTATTCTTTACATATACAGCTGGAATAATTTATTCTTTACATATGCAGCTAGCTGGATTTTAAATTCCTACCCACATTGAGCAGTTTTATACATTACATTGCTTTGTTTGAGGCCCGTGGGGGGGTTATCTGCACAAAATGCTACAAATTAAAAAAAATTCGCTTTGCTGATCTTCAGTTTTAACTTCAAATTATTGAACAAAGTGTTAATACAGTGCCGTCGTGTTTATCAATACAATGAACACTACTTTCGATTTCAATTTTGATTTCTACTAAGCTTTCAAACGGCATGGATACACATAAAAATGGACACGCAGAAAATATGTCAGTTAAATGCTTCTCTGTGTTGACTTGTAAACTTGAAATAAAAAAGCTTGTTAGAAATCAAAACTACAATAGAAAAGTCGTCTTCATTGTATTGCCATAAACGCCGACCACTGTAGTGGCGCACATTTTGAGAAATCAGTAAATTTCAGATATATTTCAAGTTTTGTCTATGATTCTGGAGACCAATGCACTAAAAACGTTCAATTTCAGCAGAGACTATAAACCAAATAGAACACGAATAGTCGTTCAATGGTAATTTATGTTTATAATAACCACTCAGAACACAACCTCTTTCATTGACGTTGTAGGGTTTCTAACACAGACTAGATATACTCTCTCTTCTCTGATTTCTAAACAATTAGGTTTTACTTACGCACTAGCCCTGGACTTAATTTAGTATACAGATTCTACTTTGTTCAGGTTTAGGTAAAAACCTTAGTTCAGTTAAAACCCCTCATTTCAAGCACACCTTGATGGTAGACAAAGAGTGGTTACTGGTTATTACTAGAAACCATTGGTGGATGGGAGATTAGGTAAGTTTTAACTAATGTCCCGGCCGATAATTTTTTTTGTCCTGGTTCAAGGTTTTTTTTTTTGGAGATTTTGAAACAGGTGTAAGACAATTCACTCTTTGGGAGATTTTTTTACCAAGACATTTATGGCAGATAGGACTTCACGCTTATGATGTTGTTAGGAGGCACTTTTTAGGCAATGAACCCATCGATATTCAGAACATATGCATCGGATATAACATTTATTTAATTAAAAAAAAATTCTGAGAAAGATTAAATTTTATTTTCAGAGCTGTGTTGGCCCACGCTTCATTTCGGATACTAGCTGCGGATATCGAAGGTTTGGGATAACCAGCTAATTTCATTGAAGAACCTAGCAATAGCGGATATCTGTAGTGGATACCGGTGGGGAATACCTGTAGAGGATACTGGAAGATGTTACCATAGTAGTGGATACTGTACCTCATTGGTATTTTGAGAGATCTATGTACGATATCTTTTTTCTCTTTTGGAATATCCGGTTATTTAAAAGGAGAAACCAAGAAGGTTTATGTACCAGTTGATATAGGCAACTAAATGGTATTTAATTGGTAACATATTTAGAATATTCTGTTCTATATTGATTTACATTGAATATTCAATATTTAAAATCTATATTTCAAAATGTGATAATCAAGAAGAAATTAGAATTATTATTATGTCGCCAATTTATCAATGTGATAATTTTATTGGATTAAAATTTTCCATTTTATCCATTATATAGCAAACAAAATAAAATAAATATTTCGAAAACTTTCATTAAGCAAATTTGATAATCCCGTTAACAATGCGAGTGTCCTGTGACTGTAATGTTTATAGCTAGTCTTACAAGGTATTGTAATGTTACATTAAAGAGTGTACAAGCATTTAAGCTGGTTTTTTTTTCTCCGACAAATGTGATACAAAATTACTATGACCAAGGCTCTAATGCAAGGAAAATTAAGCAGTTGTGTATACTCTGCGTACATATTGAAACCAGTTCTCTCTGGGCGGAATTTGTAAACAAGAATAGATGCCTCAGTGTTCGCTTAGTATCCGAGGAGGTTAAAAGCATTAAATTTTATAACTTTCCTTGCATTATAATCTTGACTATGACAAAGTTTGTGTCTTATGCCTACATCTATTGTGTACTTCTTTGCTTGACTCAATGCTAATCAACGTACCCTTAGAATTGTCACGAATTGTGATCGAAACGTGTTATGGAATACTTTTTACTTGCTTTACTAACTATTATATTTTCCCTTTTTGTTTAGACTAGATTAATCAAGGGCTCTGAGATACAATTCAATTTTGTAAATCTCCAGTTTTAATTAAAAATGGCAGAGACTGTGGATGATGGGGATTCTTTGAAGAAAGCGGATGAGTTTGAACCCAAGGAGGAGAAGTTAGGTTCTATTCAGATGAATTCTGGATTTGAATTTGCGCCGAAGGACGATCCACAGGATGAAAACCGGGGTATACATTTTTATATCAATGAGTGTTCAAGAAATTTATTTAAACAAAAATATTCTAGTTCTGCGCCGAATTTAAGAATTGAAAAATGTCAAGATTGCGTACTTTACATTTTGTGTTGGGCTATTTAAATTTCCAGATATTAAGATAAACTGGATTTATGGAATTTATCGCCTCATTCCAGTTTCAGTCGGTGGATTTCCAAATTTCGAAAAAGAAAAAAATCAATAATAATTTGATTTTTTAAATTTCGACTGACCCGCGTCTTAAATATTAAAAATAAATAAAAGGATGATTTTTTAAAATATGTTTTAAAATCTTTTGTATATTTAATCTCTGAAAAAATAATTTTTTTCTTCTCTAATTTAAGATATATTCCGCGCATCCGTGAAGATTAATTCACTCGTTTCCAAAGTTATGGGGAATGATGAACATCTGGATTCTCTAGATGTTTCGAAGAAAGAAACTACTTCTGAAGTTATGGGGAAAGATGAACATCTGGATTCTCTAGATGTTTCGAAGAAAGAAACTACTTCTGAAGTTATGGAAAGAGTTCAACTAAAAAATAAAGATCAAAGCGAAGATGAGATGAATAATACCGTCGATCTAAACGAAGATATTGAGGGAGAGAAGGAGGATAATACTGAGGATGGGCTGCCTGAAGCAGGGTCTGCTTGGAAATTGGCTAGACTTAGTCCAAGGTAATGGCTTTAAGTTCATAATTATTTTAGAGCACATTGAAAGATTAATAACTAAGATGAAAGATAAAAAATATTGAAAGATTGCCGCTAGAAAAATTTTATTTTGATCTTATTTTGTTGTTGTCTGGGAAGATATCCTTGTTTTTCTTTTAAAACTATTTTAAATTGCGGTTTCTTTACAAAAGTGACTTGGATTTTAGTATTTAAACTTTTAAGCCGATATCTTTATCATTGATGCTCAGATTAAGGTGTAAGGGTACCGTTGTGAATCTAGTATACAACCTTCTATTTAAGGATCACAGATTCGGAATCCCCAAAATATTGGACACGTTTTAAAAAACGGTAGAGCTGAAACGTAGTAATATTTTAAAAATACACTACTAAGCATTGTGAATTAAAGTATATATGTATCTTAGGATGATTATATCCACCTGTAGTATGTCCTCTGACTCATCATGTGACCAAACTCCTGGGACCAGGAGTCGCAATAAGGGATGTCGTTTTTTTTAGCGTGGCCATTAACCTCAGCTGTCACTTCATTTCCTTTGTTATANGTTGTAAGAACTCCTCACATTATGTAAAAACTTTATGTCTGATTTTTTTCTTCTTCCATTCTGGTCCACTTTTTTCTATTTGAACCCAGAGTTGAACTGATTTAGTGAAAATTATGATTCTAAGAAATGGTTGTTATGTTTGCAAATTATTCTTATGCAAATTGTAAAATCAAATTCTATAGTAATCCTGACCCCCTCCCTGTGTTTGAGAAAGAGCTAAATTTCGACCTCCATGATGTTGAAGAGAGAAGAGATGTTGGAGCCCAACCACTACTACTGCAGGGACTGCTTAAAGTGGAGTATAATCAAGGATGAAGAGATCTGTACACACTGTCTTACTCCGGTCTACACAACGCAGGTCAACACAGATTTACACCCATTCAAGGGACTGCAGACGTATTTTAAAGTGTTCTTTCATTTATAGGTTGGCATGTACGATTTACAGCGCGGTATCCTATAAACCTTTGGCTAATAAAACATTTAGTAGATACTGTTATTTTGAAAGCTGGAATTTAATACCTACCATGTAGATTATAAGTAACATCGAGTCTACCCGAACTTAAAATTACGTCTGTACGCTGCAGTCCCTTTAAAACTATGCGACATCGTATCTCATCTGATTTTCAGTTTTTGTCCAAGATTGAAAAAATCAAACAAGTTAATTAACACATTTTGTTCCTATTATATATTGGCTTATTAAATATGGTTAAAACAAGATTTAAGCTAAAAATAAATGAATTTTAGTTAAATGTAATGTAACCCACAACAGATGAAGTAAGAGACGACTGCAGATTTTATTCAGTGTTATTTTAAAAACTGCTGAACGGATTTTAGTCAAGTTTTTTATTCATAGCCAGATGCAGAATAGTAAAAATTATTTTTACTAGTATCTTTTAAAATAAAAATTCGGCAAACTTTTTTAAAAACGTAATAGGAGCAAGGTCTAGTAAGGTAACATAACATTCTGCCATATTTGAGGAATGTGGCAAAAAATTAGTGAGTTTGTGACAAAAGCTTAATTCAATGTATTCCTCCAGGTACAGCCTAGTTCCTCTCTGTTCCTAGTTGAGGAAGGAATATCTTCCAAGGTTTTCCTACCCACAGACCTTCCTTTCGGGCTTAAGAAACTTAACAGGTAGCCATTAAACTTTAAGAGACTGTAGACGTAATTTCCGCCATATAATTAAAGAGAAGCCTGATAAAACTGATAAATTTTTGTGTGGCTCCGTCATGAATTGAGTTGCGGATTTATACTACAAAATAATGGAAAATTTTCACGATTGAACACGTTTTTTTGTGGCTTTGCTAAGAACTGGCAATTGCAGATTTATACTACAGAAAAATCGGAAATTGACAGACAATTTGAGATAAGATGGAGTAGGAAGACGACTTTTAGACTCAATTTATGACTGTAAATAGTCTAATGAACATGAGACACAGCTATTGTGCAGTGTAGAGATTTATTAATTTATTACAGTGGTAGGCGATTATATCAATACAATGAAAAGAACTTTTTATTTAAATTATGATTGTTAATAAGATTTTTCGAATTACAAATTTACAAGTAATCAAAGAACAGCTTTTTTGAGTTGACCGCATATCTTTACTACTATATTTATGTGTATCCATGCTGTTTAACAGCTTGTTCTAAATAAGAGTTGAATCGAAAGTTGTCTTCATTGTATTTGTATAATCTGTAGCAAAACTGATTGCATTGGAACACAATCAAATTCACTTAAATATTACAAAGTTTTCTGGTTCTCACAATATATTTTTTTTAAATCCCTAAATATTTTTTTTTTTAGGAACCCATTGGGTATTCTGGAGAAGAAGAAGCAGATGCTACAGGGACAAGATAATCAAGAGAGTTATCCCCAGGTGTAACATTATAGGATATATAAGTAGAGGCGGNAAACTAGCAATCTACCGGCTTTAGTACTTTACTTAACATTCAAAATATTTTTTTTGTGATGAAAATACCTATTAATATTTTTCATCTTTATAATTTCGAAGGAAAAACGATGATTTATTAATAGATATAAGATTCTATTTTTATCAGCTTTGTTGGGTTAAGTTACCATTTACAATAGGTTTTATGGACTAACAGACTTTTTGTGACAAAGTTTATGGACAAAAAATTTTTTTTGACAGCTTTTATAGACTAAAATACTACTTACAGCAGGTTTCATGGACTAATATTATTTGTGGCAAAATTTTGTGGACTACAATTCAATTTTTGACAGCTTTTTTAGACTAAGATAATATTTTAAGAGATTTTATGGCATTTTTTATGGGTCTGAATATTGGGAACTGCAACCGTAATTTCGAGTGACCTTCCATGCAAAGATGACAATGTTAAATTCACACCAGTACCCTAAAAAGCTTTGTCTGATCAAGACTAATGTTTACAATTTTTAAAACTGATTATTTACATTCGTGGTCTCTCTACAAAAGTGACCTGCGCATTTATACTGCTGGAAAACATGGAAAACATCTAGGATTTATCAGAATTAATAATGTTAAACCAATGAAACGAGAATATTTTCCACATTATTGATCAGATAAAGGTTTCAAGGGTACTGTTGTGAAATCAGGTATTGCGATCCTTGCATGGAGGGTCACTTGAAATTAGGCTCTCAGTTCCTTTGGGTTTAATTTTTACATAAATTAATCCTAGATTAGCCCCTGAACTCACCAACATTCTGTTTAGGTCAAACCGACAAGATTCAGTCGACCCCCGGACAACAATCAACCCTTCCCTGTTGGTCTTAACCAGTTCAATGTTCCACCTCCGCCTCACCAGGATTTCTCCGTCCCTCCCCCTCATCTCGAGTTCTCTCCTACTCCTATCCGCAGGGAGAACCTGAGTTCTCCTAACTCTAGTGGGAACATGAGCTCTGCTAAACCTAAATCGTCTAGGTTTAGTTTTGATTTATCTGGTTTACTCGCAAACCTATTCTATCCAGCAGAAAAGGATAACAATGAGACACCTCTAACCAGGAAAGGTGCAAGGAAATCCAAAGCAGTTGCTCCTAAAAAGTCTAACGAGTTGGAAAGGTCCAGGAAATCAAACGAATTTGTTGGTCCCAGGAAATCAAGCGAATCTATAGGTCCCAGGAAATCAAGCGAATTTGTAGGTCCCAGGACATCAAGCGAATCTGTAGGTCCAAGGAAATCAAGTGAATATGTAGGTCCCAGAACATCAAACGAATCTGTAGGTCCCAGGAAAGCATGCGAGTCTTTAGGTCCCAGGAAATCATGTCAATCTGCAGGTCCCAGGAAATCAAGCGAATCTGTTGGTCCCAGGAAATCAAGTCAATCTGTAGGTCCCAGGACATCAAGCGAATCTGTAGGGCCCAGTACATTAAGCGAATCTGTTGGTCCCAGGAAATCAAGCGAATCTGTAGGTCCAAGGATATCAAGCAAATCTGTCTGTACCAGAAAATCAAGCAAATCGGTTGGTTCCAGGACATCAAGTGAATCTGTAGGTCCAAGGAAATCATGCGAAGCTGTAGGTCCCAGGAAATCAAGCGAATCTGTAGGTCCCAGGAAATCAAGCGAATCTGTAGGTCCCAGGAAATCATGCGAATCTGTAGGTCCCAGAATATCAAGCGAATCTGTAGGTCCCAGGACATCAAGCGAATCAGTTGGTCCCAAGAAATCAAGCGAATCAGTCGGTCCCAGAAAATCAAGCGAAGGAAAAGCTAGCTTCAAGAAAACTGTTTCAAAATCAATTCTCAAGAATCCCGGAAGCAAGAAGAGATTATATCCTGAGAACTCTCTGGAGGATGAACTAACCATGACCAAGGCCGGATCCTCTACTCCCAGGAAGAAGAAGAGGATGAACTGTGAGATTAAATCTAGCCAGGAGCTTGACCTCTCCAACCTCAGCCTCCGATCCTCCAGGTCCAACCCTGACCTCCTCCACATGAACTCTACTCAAGGAACACAAGAGTACAGTCTGCAAGGTAAACCATCTTATAATTTTGCATTTTTTATTAATTTATCATCTTCCATTTTTTCTTCAATCCAAGGACCGAATTATGAATTTGATCTAATTTGAGTCGTCTATTCAAATCCTTACTTAATCTCTAACTTTGAATCGGTGGTTTATATTTGAACCGGCAGTAGGTTGTTCTGTGACGTAGCTTAAATTCATAAGATTCGGTCCCTGGTAAAAGTTGCATGCACGAATTACATAGTACTCTTTAAAGCTTTGTCTTCTCAAGAGTGTTTTAAAAAATGTTAAATTCTGCGAATTTCCTTCAATTATCCTATGCTGCACAAATTCACTAGGTTACTTGTACAGAGAAACCACAATTGAAAATGATCAATTTTCAATATCTCAAGGATATCTTTAGTATGCCAAGACTAAAGTTATAAGGGTAGAATTCGTATAATAGATCTGACATTCGACTCTTTATATCACGCCTACAGCCACTTTAAGCCCAAGATTTAGAATAAAAAATCATCTAACTATCTAAAATGTATTTTCTCAAAACTATCCCGACTTAAATTAATGTAGAAGTTAAAGTTCTTCAAAAACTACTGTATAATATTTATATCTGAANTTTGTCCTAAGGTCCTCAAGTAGTATCAGAATACCAGCAGGACAGCTCTCTGTCTAGTCTTCCTGGGCGTGAACTAAACCTTGTAGAAGAATTAGGGGATGGTAGAACCAGCAATTCTTCAGATAGGTAATTTCTTTAACTATTTCCAGTCTGTAGTGGTCGGCATTGATGAATAGTGTAGGTATTATTAGATGAACTATATTCAATGTACGGAGGTCACACCTTGTAGTTCATCTACTTCTAGCTAATTTTTAATTCCGGCATCCGGATTTATAAACGACATATTGTCATCACTCATCAGACATATAATTGTTGTTTAACAAAAATACACACCACCGGTCCAATACAGGTGAAAAGTTGGGTATGCAATCTGCATCTACTTTACCACTAGACTACATAAACATTTTTAAAGTTGAATTTTTTCAAACACTTAAAATTGTATATGGTTATTTATTTTAAACAAGACTAACATTACGGTTCAATTGCGATGTATCCTATTTTTTGCACGGTTTTAATCCACAATTAACCAGCTAAGGATGATAATTTTAGGTATAAATAACAAGTATACTAAAGCCGAGGCACCCTATTACCTTTTCGTTGAAACGTAACTTACCAGTTTCTTTATTCAAAAGATCTGATAAGTAAAAGTACAGTAATATCCCGTCTACGGACCGGAATTAAAAGTATAGTAATATCCCGTCTACGGACCGGAAGTAAATATATAGTAATATCCCGTCTACGGACCGAAAGTAAATATATAGTAATATCCCGTCTACGGACCGAAAGTAAAAGTATAGTAATATCCCGTCTACGGACCGGAAGTAAATATATAGTAATATCCCGTCTACGGACTGGAAGTAAATATATAGTAATATCCCGTCTACGGACCGGAAGTAAATGTATTGTAATATCTCTAAAGCCGAGGCACCCTATTACCTTTTCGTTGAAACGTAACTTACCAGTTTCTTTATTCAAAAGATCTGATAAGTAAAAGTACAGTAATATCCCGTCTACGGACCGGAATTAAAAGTATAGTAATATCCCGTCTACGGACCGGAAGTAAAAATATAGTAATATCCGGTCTACGGACCGAAAGTAAATATATAGTAATATCCCGTCTACGGACCGAAAGTAAAAATATAGTAATATCCCGTCTACGGACCGGAAGTAAATGTATTGTAATATCCCGTCTACGGACTGGAAGTAAAAATATAGTAATATCCCGTCTACGGACCGGAAGTAAATGTACAGTAATATCCCGTCTAAGGACCGGAAGTAAATTTACAGTAATATCCCGTCTAGGGACCGGAAGTAAATATATAGTTATATCCCGTCTATGGACCGGAAGTAAATGTATAGTAATATTCCGTCTACGGACCGGAAGTAAATGTACAGTAATATCCTGTCTACGGACCGGAAGTAAATTTACAGTAATATCCCGTCTACGGACCGGAAGTAAATATATAGTTATATCCCGTCTACGGACCGGAAGTAAATGTATAGTAATATCCCGTCTACGGACCAGAAGTAAATGTATAGTAATATCCCGTCTACGGACCGAAAGTAAAAGTATAGTAATATCCCGTCTACGGACCAGAAGTAAAAGTATAGTAATATCCCGTCTACGGACCGGAAGTAAATATATAGTAATATCCGTCTACGGACCGAAAGTAAATATATAGTAATGTCCCGTCTACGGACCGGAAGTAAATATATAGTAATATCCCGTCTACGGACTGGAAGTAAATATATAGTAATATCCCGACTACGGACCGGAAGTAAATGTATTGTAATATCCCGTCTATGGACTGGAAGTAAATATATAGTAATATCCCGTCTACGGACCGGAAGTAAATATATATTTATATCCCGTCTACGGACCGGAAGTAAATGTATAGTAATCCCGTCTATGGACCAGAAGTAAATGTATTGTAATATCCCGTCTACGGACTGGAAGTAAATGTACAGTAATATCCCGTCTACGGACCGAAAGTAAATATATAGTAATATCCCGTCTACGGACCGAAAGTAAATATATAGTAATATCCCGTTTACGGACCGAAAGTAAATATATAGTAATATCCCGTCTTCGGACCGAAAGTAAATATATAGTAATATCCCGTCTACGGACCGAAAGTAAATATATAGTAATATCCCGTCTACGGACCAATGATGAAGGAAAACTTCTAGGGTCGATTTACTAATCTAATAGAATAGTTGTGTACTTTACTTGTTATAAGTTTTGTACTTTTCCAAAAATAAATTAAAACATAATGTGGGCGCACAGAAATATAATTACATCAGAATGTCATAATATTGTGTGTATTGTTGGAATGAATCAAAGCTGACATATATTTAAATTCCAATATATGTATTCATTTTTACTTCATTCTTCAAACCAATAAAACCATAATTGTGATATATTCTTAGGTTTAATTAGGTTAAATCAATTAAAAAGAGTTAGAATAATTTGTTAGGTTAGGTTATTAAAATTTCAAACACTTAAACAATGATTGAAAATAGTAGAAACTTAACTCATTTAAACAAGGTTTTGAAAAGTTGATTCGTCCATTCAAAAGTTTTCATTTTAATTTATTTATTGAGGAGGCTTTTAGGGCGCTTCGCACCCATCTTCTTTTTTAACTTTTGATAGTGGCTTTATGTCATGAGCATCTGTTTGTACAGTATAAATTTTTTTTATTAATTTGCGGATTTTACAATATTTTTTCGCGCATTTTCAAAATTTTGAAAAATTAAATAATTTTAGATTAAGATATTTTAAGATTAAATATTTAAAGTCTGATAGGTCATAAACCTTCCCTTGGGCCACGTGAGGTCCTACACAAAATTTGGGCCTGATCGGTTCAGCCGTTTTGACGTTTATTGGATACAAACAAACAGACAGACAGACAAGCTAAATTTATTTATTGATTTAGTGTTTGTATACTTAGATACTAATTGTGATAGTTTTTTTTTGGTGTCTAAATGTTGTAAAGAAGAATTGTTTGGGTATACTTGTTATATAATTTTTACCCAGATCAATCTGAAAGATGAGCCCTTCAATTCATGAACTTCCTTAATCTTTGCTACCAATCTCTTTTATCCATGTATAGCAAAGTAGATAAGAACGAGCTGAAGAATCATTTTATTTCATCAAGATGGCTTTTATACTGAAATACAATACAAAATAAATATTAAGGATTACAAGACAAAGTAATAGTACATAAAAGATATTAAAAGGAAGTTTGTAAACCTACGATGCTCAGGGTACTTTTTCCAGCTGATTCCAAGTCTTTTAAGCAAAATAATTGATTCTAACATTGATTTATTAAGAAAATTCCAATTGAGAAATATATTTCTAAACATCTAATTAGTTTACTGTAGAATTTTTTTACATTTTTATTCGTCACTATTAAAAAAAATGATTTTGAACGTCGACTTTGCGCTCAAATTCATTAATTATACATCATTAAAACGTTTTATATGTCTCAAGTGAGCCCTAAACGATTTATCCATAAAACTACATTCTCAGTTCAACTACCATACAGTGCCGGTCACTCCCTTTAAAGCTTATGTTTACAACACGATCTAAGAAGCTAAAGAAAAAAGCCAATCCGACGTGTATCAATGGTTTCGGTGTATATTTACTTAAAGCATGTTATTCTTGTTTTAGGTTGGAATCCTGGATTCAGATTAAGACTTCAATATTCGAAGAGATTCTCAATCTTAAGGTAAACTATTGGTCCCTATTATGGAAAATAGAAAATTTATTCTAATCTTGAAATTTGGACCTGAAAAAATTCCCCGAAAGTGATTGAATCTCAAATCCTTCAAACATGAAAGGGGGAAATGTTTTAGAATTTTGATATTTCCTTTTTGATTCCACCAAACGTAGAATCCAAAAATGTAATTTAAAATACATTCCCTTCCCTCTTCCCCTTTTCCCTTCCCTATTCCCCATTTTCTCTTTCCTTTCCTTTTTCCTTTTCCCCTTCCCTTTCCAATTTTTTCCTTTAAACTTGTTTTGTTTTATTAGGGCGCCATGACAAACTCCTGAAAGATCTTTCCGGAGTTTGTCTTTCAGGAGTTTGTCATGGCACCTATATCATATGTATCTTGTATATTTTGATCTTTAGATGAAGCTAATTGCTCTGCTGTATGTATGTAAGAGTCGTCGCGTGCTTCTGTACATAAATTATTACACTTCAGATGAAGCTAACCGCTCTGCTGTATGTACAAAAGGATCGTTACGTACTGTTGTACATAGATCAGTATACTTTGATGTTTTCAGATGAAGCTACCCGAGCTACCCGCTCTTCTGTATGTACAAAAGGATCGTCGCGTACTGCTGTACATAAACCAATATACTTTGACGTTTTAAGATGAAGCTGACTGCTCTGCTGTATGTACATAAGGACCGTACTGCTGAAGAGAATACTAGTGTTAAAAGATCTATCTTCGTACAGCTAAAGGTAGGAAAATCAGAGAATGAGAAATTTCACTCCAATTCTTCCTGAATTGGTGAACCTTTTTGGTAATTTACATTAAAAGCGGTATATGATGATTTACTAGATATATGAATGTAATTAACATTATTATTTATAAATTTTAAATTTAGAAACTCGAGGACGAATTGAGTCTGCTGAACGGGTTTAAATCTGATATTACAGCTGCTATATTCAGCAGTCTGGTATTGGGAGGGAGGGAGGGAGGGAGGGAGGTCCTATAAAGTGAGAAAACAAATCAACTCAAATTTTGGTAAATATTAATTTCACAAAGATCTGTAGACTGTGTCTCCTGAACTGAAATATTTTTAAATCAATGTCAAAAATTGATATCTTTTCAATAAAAGTTAACATATATAATACCAAAAAATCGAATTTCAATTTTATGAAGATACTTCTGTTGACATTAAATGTTGAAAGAAAAGGTAATGATAAAGATAATTGTTAGATGAATATAAAACGTAAAAAACAGTAGCTCCAAAATAAAAGCGTCAACTCCGGGTGGGCTCAAAATTTTGATACGTTTTTCTGGCAGAACGGATCCTAAGCAGTGATTTAAGACAGTGCTTAAGCTTTAGACCCGGATCCAATGGATCTGCAACAATTTGGCTTCCTGGATTCGGATTCGGATCCAAAGGCAAAATATTCCAAAACCTGATTTTAAAAAATAGTTTCAAAATAATAGATTATTTATTTTTAAATCATCTCTGAATAGCCCATCAAGTTTTAGCAAATAAAGGCAGAAATTTTTTTTTCATATTTATTCAAAATATCAGTAAATCTTTTTTTAAAAAAAGCTTATGGCCCTTGATCCGGATCCATTTTTAGGTTGCATCAACATGAAATGGATCATAACCTCTGATTTCAGGAGAAGACGATGAAGTCTAAGTCTGAAAGATCCTCCTACTCCTACCTGGATAGGATACAGGACTGGCCAAGATCCAGGAGCTTCAACTCCTCCTACTCCTTCCTGGATAGGATACAGGACTGGCCAAGTCTACCTCCTTCCAGGAAAATAATTAACTAACATTAGCAATAGATTACTTAAAACTCTATTTATCAAAAAAAAAATGCATTTTTCATGGATTGCCATCTGTATATACAAGGTAACCCATAAATAAAGAGACTTATGAGACCAAGAAATCGAGTCTTTGCCACAAAATCTGGTTTCTAATCTTTATATCTTTCCAGCCCAATATCGTGGACCTTAGATATTTCAAACTAAATAACTTTTTGGATGAAATATTTTTACTTTGAAATATTTAAGGTGTACGACAACGGGTTGCAGAGATATTGGGATTGAAGAATCAGAGTTTGTGGCAGAGACTCAATTCCTTTACAGAAATTATTTCGCATCTTTCTTTATATGCGTGGTTCCCAAAATAGTTTCTATCCTTGGGAAATAGTTAAAGAATCCTTTGAAGACTTTATTTAAGTCATAAGCAAATTTAAAAGCTTCAGATCGTTACCAAGTCTCATCCTTTGTTCGTAAAATCAAAAATGTGGAAGATGCCATCGGTTTTCCGGACTCGTAAAGTGTCAAATTATGATAATTTCTCCATTGCTTCTTATAAACAAGAATTGTGGAAGTCACTATTGAAAATGAAATAAACAGAGTATGACTCATGCGCATACTTTATAATTATGACAAAGCTGTTCAGTGTACCGTTTAATAGGTTATTGCCATCTTTGTATGGAAGGTCAACTGAAACTACGCATACAGTCCCTAAGTTTTGGAGGAACTGCGTTTTTGCCACAAACTCTGATTTTTTAATCTCGATGTCGTTGATGTTAGATACTTCAAACCATGAATTCTGTCAGATTTAATATGCTTAGTTTGTAATATTTAAGGATTACACCATTAGGTTGCACAGATATAGGGATTATAAAATTCTTTTTATTAGAAAAAGGGCCGCGACGCTCCCTAAAAGTCTAGTTCACATAGAAAAAAAGCATCTTGATTTTTACTTACTAGGCTTCCAGACCATTTTCTTTTAAATATGTCAGCTTGTAACTGTTACTTTAAAACATTTACAAGCTGACATATTTGTTCTTCGATCATGTACTCGAAACAATTGCCACACAAAAAAGTTATACTTTATTATTATTGGGCCTAATCAGTTTAGCCATTTCGACAAATATTGAAGTCAAGAAAACCATACAAATATAAAATCAGATTCTCAAATCCTATCAGAAAGGCACCAACAAAGGATTAAATTGATCATGTCATACTGCATACATAATTATTAGAAATATGTGTTTTTCAACTAATCTGAAAAATTGAAAGTTAAAATGTTTTTTTGTGGTCAGGGCACTCACAGAGTTTGGACAGATAACAGTCACAGAACAGGTTATTTTGCATTTCAGAAAACAGAAAAACCAAACTTTTTGATTTTGCTACACTTTTTCAGGGATTAATGATGAAAGCTCTTTACTAATAACTTTTAATTACGTTGAAACCCTAAAGCCATATTATAGACATAATTTTCAACTACAAATGTTTTATATTGAATCTAGTGGAAACCTGACATGGGATTATAGACTTTAGAAATGATTTAATTTTTAATAAATATATACAATACATCCCCATCCCAACTAAATGCTTCATGTTTAAAAATATTGTGAGGGGGTTTCACTACTGGTTCAAGCTCAGAAGTGCGGAAGTTTTTGTAGTTTACCAATTTCGAACCATGGCATCACAATGCCTCAAGATTTGATACAACCAAACCATGCAATCTAATGTAATTGGAATATCTCAAAGCTTTAACGCCAAAATACGCACTTAATACTCGAAAAACCTAGTATTTTCTGCTTGTAAATTTTTAAATTAGCCTTATCCAATTTTTTAAAATGATTTTATCTTTACAATCGCAATTTGAATATGAATATGATGTGGGACAGCCTGTATATTAAAGAAGAAAAGGACTCAGTCAAACAACTCTCATTCATAAACTTGAATATCAGGTGTTTGATGGTATTGAGGTAAACCCCCCGAAGGAGAAGGAGAGGAAGTCCCTGGATTCTATCTCCTCCCTGCCCGCCAACATAGAGAACATACCACCAGTAGCCCCAGCACTGGTCCAGGGACCATGTATGGAGTTCAAGAGCCTCTACAATCTTTCCGGTAGGTCCAGGGACTATTATTAAATAAACTTATCGGGGACCAATCTTGTACAATCTTTTAGGTAGGTCCAGGGACCATTATTGTATAACCTTTTAGGTAGGTCCCGGGACCATTTTTGTACGATCATTCAGGTAGGTCCACGGACCATTCTTGTACAATCTATCAGGTAGGTCAAGGGACCATTATTGTTCAATCTTTTAGGTAAGCTAAGGGACCATTATTTACAATTTTTCAAGTAGGTGCTGGGACCATTATTGTACAATCTCTCAGGTAGGTCCAGGGACCATTCTTGTTCCATTTTAGGTGGGTCCAGGGTCCTTTCTAAATATCGTGTTTAAGGGACTCATTGTGTGCAATGCCCCGGAAAATTCCAAAACAGAGAGAGGGGGATTGAATTTTGGAGATCCAGAAAAATAATATCTGTGGGATACCTGCGTAGAGAGTGGCAGCTGGTGGGGTCTTAAATGTAAGACATGTGGCCGCAGCGCTCGGCCCAGAAAGTGTCTTAACCTAACCTAACCCTAAATAAATACTAATTTAATTATTTTTCTGGATCTACAAAATTCAATCCCCCTCTCTCTGTTTTGGAATTTTCCGGGGCATTGTACACAATGAGTCCCTTAAACACGATATTTAGAAAGGACCCTGGACCTCATTTAAGTTCAATCCTGTTCCCAAAGCATTGGTTTCTGTGAAGATCAAAAATGGATTTAGAATAATATTAAATTAAATTCAGATCAGTTGCAGGACTTCTGTCGTGGACCCAATGCAAGCAAGTTCGTGATTCAACGCCTACGGTAGGTTTTATTT